ATGTATGGATATTATAATTATAATTTCGTACATAATGACTTTTTTGATTTTAATTAACATTCAATCTTTTTGGAATCATGGGTTTAGCTTTAAATCTCATAAGTCTTTCTTTTTGTTTATTTGATTAAATAAATTTGTTTTATCGTTCTTAATTTAAAAGTCTATGTAATTGTATTTTTTATTCTATTAAAAGGGATGTTCTTCTGATTGATATTTGTACCAAATGGTATTATGTATTGTTTTTATTGCTTATTTTTCTACAAGTTCTGAGTTGTTTCTAAGTTTTTTTTTTTATTTATGAGGATTTCTATTCATATTTCTTAAACCATATAAAATTTGATGTTTCTCTTCTAATTTTATCAATTATTACTTAATTCTTCACTTTAGTATGGGATAATTTCATTGTATAATTCTTGAATATTAAAATCGGCTTTTGTCAGAATTGGCTTAATTTTTTTTTTCATTTAAAAATATAATTTTTCTTATATTTGTACTGATGTTATTTTTTTCTTTTCTTTATGAATATCTGTATTTAAATCCTGAATTCATATATTCTTTCTATAATATTTTCCTACTAGATTATTTTTTGTTTTCTTTTATTTTATTTGTTATATTGTTATTGTCTTCTTTTCATTCAAAATTCTTGATCGCTTTGCATCGTTTGTTTATCTGATTGTTTGTTTTGCTTTTGGTTTTGATTTGCTTATTTTTCTGCTGAATATTGACGATATTGCCTATTTGGTTTTGTTTAATAAAACGTTTTTCTTCTTTCTGCTAAGTTTTTGGATAGTTTTTAACTAAACGTTTGATTCCTTATTTTTTATGATATTTTATGTATGCTATGGGCTATTTGTATTAGATTTATATATATGTTTGTTTTTTTTGTGTTGACAGTAGGAGTGGGTTTCTGTGAAATGATTAAACTTGGGAAACAATTTTCGCACCCTCGTATCCGTCTGCACACGAGTATTATCATTATTTCTTAAACTGAACACTGGTACTATCAGTATTTCTTAAAATGAATACGGACTATTTCGTAAACTAAACATTGACTATTTCGTAAACTGAATCGACTATTTCTTAAACTGAACAGACTATTTCTTAAACTGAACACTAGTACTATCACTATTTCTTAAATTAAATACTGATTATTTCTTAAATTGAACACTGACTATTTCTATAACTGAACATGAGTATTATCATTATTTCTTAAACTGAACATTTGTACTATCATTATTTCTTAAATTGAATACTGACTATTTCGTAAACTGAACATTGATTATTTCGTAAATTGAATCGACTATTTCTTAAGCTGAACTGACTATTTCTTAAACTGAACATTGACTATTTTTTAAACAGAACACCCACTATTTCTAGAATTGAACACGTGTATTATCATTATTTCTTAAATTGAACACTGTTACTATCACTAGTTATAATTGAACACTGACCATTTCTAGAACTGAACACTGGTACTATAACTATTTCTTAAACTGAACACTAGTACTATCACTATTTCTTAAATTAAACACTGACTATTTCTATAACTAAACACGAGTATTATCATTATTTCTTAAACTGAACACTGGTACTATAACTATTTCTTAAACTGAATACTGACTATTTCATAAACTGAACATTGATTATTTCATAAACTGTACCGACTATTTCTTAAATTGAACACTGACTATTTCTTAAACTGAAGTAGTCAATGTTCAGTTAAGAAATAGTGATAGTACTAGTGTTCCGTTTGAGAAATAATCAGTGTTTAGTTTACGAAACAGTGATAGTACTAGTGTTCCGTTTAATAAATAATCAGTGTTTAGTTTACGAAACAGTGATAATACTAGTGTTCCGTTTAAGAAATAGTTAGTGTTTAATTTACGAAACAGTGATAGTACTAGTGTTCGTTTGATAAATAGTCAATATTTAGTTTCCGAAACAGTGATAGTACTAGTGTTCCGTTTAAGAAATAGTCAGTGTTTAGTTTACGAAACAGTGATAGTACTAGTGTTCCGTTTAATAAATAGTTTACGAAACAGTGATAGTGCTAGTGTTCCGTTTAAGAAATAGTCAGTGTTTAGTTTACGAAACAATGATAGTGCTAGTGTTCTGTTTAAGAAATAATCAGTGTTTAGCTTTAGAGCCTGCAACAATTTTATTTCCCTGCAAAATTTTCAACGGTATACGATTAACCCTCTATGATTTAGTCTACCAAATTAATATATGATAGTGCTGCTCATTGAACTTATATATGCATATTTACATTATATCATGTTTTTCTCCTCGATGTCTACCAAATTAATGGCTTAAGTGGACTTCTTCAATGAAGGCAGCAATAGCCTCTTCATTCTTTTCCTCCATGTCTGCCAAATCAATCTTAATAGGTTCCCAACATCTAGCAACATTCATTAGGCTCCATGTGAATGTCTTTGTTCTTTGTCCAATTATATACCCCTTGAAGGCTACATTATAAAATTAGATATCCAATTATTTTACAGGATATTGATAGAATTGAACACTGATTATTTCTTGAATTGAATACAAGTATTATCACTATTTCGTAAACTTAACACTAACTATTTCTTAAACAGAAAACGGGCACTATCACTATTTCTTAAACTGAACACGGGCACTATCGCTCTTTCTTAAACTGGTTACATTGTGTGCATAACACATAAGAATGTAAAATGTGAAAGTTAAATCAAATAATAAATTGTAAGTAGTAGATTACTCTAATGAATAAGACAATTTCTCTTGAACTCACTGAGTGGTTGGTTCAAATATTTCATTTCTTCTTTAGCGTAATTTCTTGTAAATTATAATGATGAAAATTTATAATTAACCAAGTTCTTTAACATAGTCGATCGATCTCTATTCGCTCTAAATGAAATGGGTTAAATCTCACTGTCTCAAATGGACATACATACGTAGGTACACACATAGCAGCAGTCAGTCCACACACACACAAAAACTACAAAAACAAATATTAATTCCTACCATAATCTCAATTTACAAATTTAGTTAGCAAGCTTAATGTAGAAACTCAGCAAGTGTAGGACTAAACAAGCTTGTCCATGGACCCCAACCGAGTCTTTGCATTCTTAAGCAGCAGAGTCAATGATTCCACATTAGAGTAATCTACTACTTGTGCAGCAGAGTCAATGATGAAGATTTATGTAATCACCATCATTATTAAGCATTGGTGATTTGGATAATAAAGGCAAATGTAATGGGCAATGTGGTATTGAAACGTATTGAGACACATTTGGCAGCATCTTTCATTTCACTTTAGTGTAGAAAGATTGACTAGTCACCAAAGGCTCTTAGAGACTCCCAGTCACTGAAGAACTCTCCTTCTTTGCATGTTTTGTTGCAGAAGATAAAAGAAATTTAAAAAATATGGGGATCAATCGTTTTCTTCGATCCAATCTCAGAACCCAGGTATCAAATCTTAAATCCCAAACACCCATTTGGTTTTTTTTGGATTACATTGACTATTTCATAAAATGAACATTGACAATTTCGTAAACTGAACCGATTATTTCTTAAACTAAACCGACTATTTCTTAAATTGATCGCCTAGGCTCTAGGCGGCTGGCCACCGTCTCGATTAATGCTAAGGGCGCCTAGACCTACTGAGGCACCGCCTAGGCGCCCGCCTAGACCGCCTGGACCCGCCTAAACACTCGCCTAGGTCGCAACTCACTTAGACAGAAAATAGATAACTTTCATTTTGCATTTTGTTTTTTTCTAATAAATTGTAAGAGACTTGTTACATACTTAAATGAACACACAGTATATCCTTATTTCACATGTTTTCATTATGTTTCAATACTTCATAATATATATGCATTCTATTTTGTAGTTTATGACGAAATTATATATATTTCAAGTATAAGCAAACACTTATTTACATGAAATATGTTTGATTTACTTAAATCCGCCTAGTCCGCCTAGGCCCCCGCCTAGGCACTAGGCCCCAGCCTGCCGCCCAACTAGCGTCTAGCGACTTTTAGAACCTTGTTGATCGATAAAACAATGGTCATGGAGATGATTAATGGTTCAGTTTGCTTTGGTAAAAAAGTGTGGTTCAGTTTGATAAATAGTTCAGTTTGTTTTGGTAAAAAAGTGTGGTTTAGTTTGATAAATAGTTCAGTTTGATAAATAGTTCAGTTTGCTTTGGTAAAAAAGTGTGGTTTTCTAGTTCACTTTGATAAATAGTTCAATTTGCTTTGGTAAAAAACTGTGGTTTTCTAGTTCACTTTGATAAATAGTTCAGTTTGATAAATAGTTCAATTTGCTTTGGTAAAAAAGTGTGGTTTAGTTTGATAAATAGTTCAATTTGCTTTGGTAAAAGAGTGTGGTTTTCTAGTTTACTTTGATAAATAGTTCAGTTTGCTTTAGTAAAAAAGTGTGGTTTTCTAATTCAGTTTGATAAATAGTTCAGTTTGTTTTGGTAACAAATAGTGGTTTCTAGTTCACTTTGATAAATATTTCAGTTTGCTTTGGTAAAAAAGTATAGTTTAATTTGATAAATAGTTCAGTTTGATAAATAGTTCAGTTTGCTTTGGTAAAAAAATGTGGCTCAGTTTGATAAATAGTTCAATTTCTTTTGGTAAAAAAGTGTGGTTTAGTTTGATAAATAGTTCAGTTTGCTTTGGTAAAAAAGTGTGGTTTTCTAGTTTATTTTGATAAATAGTTCAGTTTGCTTTGGTGAAAAAAGTGTGGTTTAGTTTAATAAATAGTTCAGTTTGCTTTGGTAAAAAAGTGTGGTTTTCTAGTTCAGTTTGATAAATAGTTCAGTTTGCTTTAGTAAAAAAATGTGGTTTGGTTTGATAAATAGTTCACTTTGATAAATAGTTCACTTTGCTTTGGTAAAAAAGTGTGGTTTAGTTTGATAAATAGTTCAGTTTGCTTTGGTAAAAAATTGTGGTTTTCTAGTTCAGTTTGATAAATAGTTCAGTTTGATAAATAATTCACTTTGATAAATAGTTCAGTTTGATAAATAGTTCACTTTGCTTTGGTAAAAAAATGTGGTTTAGTTTGATAAATAGTTCAGTTTGATAAACCTAATGTATAAATTGTGACGCAATTCACTAAGACTCCCTGCAAACAAGAACAATCACCCTCCCATCCATCCTCCCTCCTATATCCTTGAACAGCCCGAAACCCTTGCACCTTCAGCAGCCTAAAATGTAACAAGATGAACAAGAAAATCCTTACACTACTCCAAACTATCCAAAAGAGCCATAACAGAGGAGCAATAAGAATGACTTACAGCAAGACCAACAGCTCCCAATCCAAAGATGGCAATAGATGAACCCTTTTTTGGTTTTGCAACATTCACAGTGGCGCCAAAACCTTCAAATACACCAACAGAAACAATAATTGATTACTCCAGAAAGAAAAGTTGGAAAATCCCTAATTTCTGATTCCAACTTTTTCACTGTCAAAATGGGAGAAATCTTTCGAACTTGTGCATATTCCGCAACTAAGAACACAAACTTTGTCAAGGGGAGCAGCCGGGTTGATCTTAGCAACGGAACCAACATGACAAACAGTGTATTCACTGAAGGTAGAAGTACCTAAAAAGTGATAAATTGGTTTTCCATCCTTGGAGAACCTGGACTGGCCATCATTGATCATGGTACCCCTATCAGTATTGATCCTCAACAGATCACACATGTTGCTTTCCTTCGACTTACAGTGCACGCACTCCTTGCACTCCCCAGTGAACACAGGGAGGACGTGGTCACCCAGCTGGAGTTCAGTTACGCCCTCGCCTACGCTTTCCAAATGTTAAGCAAACAAAATTTAGAAAAGTAAACAAACCGCGTAAAATGGAAGCAAATACTAAGTTAATTACAAATTATGTAGCTTTAATATTCAGAGATGTGTACATAACCTCCAGCTTCATGACCGAAAATGCGAGGAAACAGCGGTTGTTGTCCCTGGCACACAACATATATGTTTCAATTCCAACAGCTGACATTCTAAGCACGAAAATGCCTTGTATAGGATTTATCATCACATTAGACTTAGCACTCAAAATCATGCTTAACTTCACTAATCAATTGCAAGTTATGGACTAAGTACTATAAACATATGAAGAATCATGCTTAATGATGTAGTTATCGATACGCAGATATTAAAGTAGAAAATGGCATTCAAAGTTGAAGTTTTTACTTTGGCTTCCCAGACGTAGACATCGGTGTGGCAAAGAGAGGTGAAGAGGATCTTCAAGCGAACTTCATGTTTCTGCGGTGGTGCCACCTCCACTTCCTCAATTGACAGTGGCTTCCCCGCTTCCCATGCCATCGCGGCTGCAACCGAAAAATCCCAATGCGATTAGCAACAAATACATCAATAAAATCAGTATTTTTACCACAATTACCGTCAACAATATCAAGATTGACAAAATGTAATGAAATCTACAATTTATGGAAAAATAGAGACAAAAATTCATTACAGCAGAATATTCAGTCCGCTGCCAAGTTAATTTCTTTTTAATCAATTTCGAAATTTTCGAAACTAAAATTTAACTTCTCATGAAATCCACGAAAACCAAATCCTCATCCTCATCATTACCAATTATAAACAATATTTAAAACAAAATAGAAAAATAAACAGCAGTAGGATCATGTAAACAATATTTAAAACAAAATAGATCATTGGCTTCATAGAAATCTCAAGCGTTCGAGAACTAATGATGTATGCAAAAGAAATTAAACTGCAAAGATTCAAAATCGTTAATTGAAAACAGGAATGAAACAGCAACATGCAAATTTTTGAAAACAAAAACCAGATCGAAAGAGAAAGGTAACGTGTTATACTGACAGGGGAACTCGAGCTCCAGAGAATCGATGCTGAGAAGGTCGCCCGCGCTTATCCGATTCGATCGATTCGATTGATTTGAAAAATTGTGGAACTCAAATTGAATTGAAAACAAAAATACATATTGGGTGGAGAGATCGAGAGAGAGGGAGAGAGATTCGATCGATTCGATTGAAAAATGGAGGAATTGGAATTGAACTTGGAAATAAAAGGATTCAGATGTGTTCTTCTTTCACTTCCTTCACTTCTCTTTCTCTCTTAGATGTGTCAGGAAGAAATGGGGGAGACAGACCACAGCAGAGCAGAGAGACCCATAAAGGAAGAGAGATTAAACGGAGAAATGCTTTGCCGTCAGGGGAAAAATCGGACACTCACTGTTTGGGCCATTTTATTTGGATTGATTTAGTGTTGGGCTTTGTCCTAACCATTAAATAAACTTACAACATGGTTTTTGGTTAAAACTCAAAGTTTCCAAGCCATTTTGGTTAGTTTTCCTAAATAATAAACCCCCGAAACAAACTATGCAATGCTCAAATCAGAAATCCAACAATGGCTATGGAGTAAGAGCACGAAAACCCACAACAACCGATAAATTTACACCAAAATTTCAGTCTCCCTCTCTGGAATTTACCCTTAAAAAAATCCATAAATCAACAAAATAAATAAGAAAGACTGGAGATCTTACCCTGGAGTGAGAAGATCGCGGAGAGAGAATAATGGAGAAGAATGGAGAAGAATGGAGAAATTGGAGGCAGGGACATGGAGGGAGTCTGGAGGAGCAGGGGACGAGAGAGAGAAGAGGGGAATGAAAAATATAAAAGGTGTGGCTGCCACTACTAGTGGCTAGGGTTTTGCTGATTTCTAATTCCACAAAAGACTATAGATTTCAATCTTTATAAATTGTTTAGTCATACAATCACAACAAAACAAAACCTGTGGCCAAGTTGGTTTCAGTGAAACATTTCAAGCTGGAGTGCATGGATTCGAACCCTCATGCCTCCAGGATTTGGGTTCGATTTTTTTCCGGTTAGGTTTGGAACCCACCCTATTAGGAAGAACCAGTTGTTTGATTTTGTTCGTGGACGCAGAGAAATTGGAGTTGATGCCAAGCAAATCTATAGCTAGGTTTAAATACTAAAGGGCCCCTCTTTATTTTTTCGGTAACTCTTATTTATGCCATAAAGCATTAAGGGAAAATTAGAATCCCCATCACTTTTATAATCCTCTTTAGATTAAACATTGGTTATAATACAAAATTTGATTAGGACACCTAAACAATAGTCATGTCAACATTTTTATATTTATTTAGATTACAAATCATTATTGTGTTTTTTTAATTTAATATATTAATTATTAAATTCCATGTATATCCTTTTATGTAGATATATTTCTGTACGTGCCTATTCTTTAGGAAGCCGGTTCTCCCACGTTTTTTTAATTCAATCCCATCTATGAAAGTCTCTTACTCAGGTTTTTTTTTTTTTCAAAATCAAAGCCTCCGAACAGAGAACCACATTTCTTAGTTGGCCTACTACATATATTGATACTAGCCCAATGGCGTCGTCCATTTCTAGCTTTTAGTCTAATTTCTTTGTATAATCTCGTTTTGATAGGAGCTAATGACCAATGAGTATAACTTTGCCCCTATGCAATTAACTTTACGTACCAAACGCCTTGAAAGATCTAATTTAATATTATATCATGAACCAAACGATCATTATGAGTCAGTGTAACATTAAGTAACGTACCAAACTCCTAGTACATTACAAACACAATGTATAACGTTTTTTTAGACAAATACGTTTCAAAAAAAAAAATTATGTACCAAATGCCTGAAATGATCTAATTTAATATTATATCATGAACCAAACGATCATTATGAGTCAGTGTAACATTAAGTAACGTACCAAACTCCTGTTACATTACAAACACACTGTATAGTGTTTTTCCAGACAAATAAGTTTCAAAAATTATTGAAACTTTACGTACCAAATGCCTAGAATGATCTAATTTAATATTATATCATGAATCAAACTATCATTATGAGTCAGTGTAACATTAAGTAACGTATCAAACTCTTGGTAAATTACAAACACACATTGTATAACGTTTTTCCAAACAAATAAGTTTCAAAAATAAAAAAACTTTACGTACCAAACGCCTTAAATGATCTAATTTAACATTCTATCATGAACCAAACGATCAATATAAGTATGTGTAACATTAAGTAACGTACCAAACTCTTGGTACATTACAAACACACACTGATAATGTTTTTCCAGACAAATACGTTTCAAAAATAAAAACTTTACGTACCAAACGATCAATATGAGTCAACTTAACATTAAATGACATACCAAACTCTTGGTACATTACAAAGTTGCAGTCCAATAATGTACCAAATTAAAAATGTTAACTGGTACATTACAAAGTCGCAGTCCAATATGAGTCAGCATAACATTAATAATGTACTAATCATAGCCTTGCTCAGGACCCTCAACTTCTTATACTAGCTACGTACGTTGCGGTGTAACTCCTAACAAGTTGGATGGATCTGAGATCCAACCGAAGCTCCATATGGGATTCTTAATTCAATTAATACTAAAACCATAATTAATAATTAGGCTAATACACAACATGCATCGACCCTAACGTGTGAATCATATTTTTTAACTCGATAACAGCTTCAGCTATACCTAGATTAATTAAGTTTTCATCTTTTATTTTTCTTCGTTTAATCAAATCCTTCGACTTCAAAAGACAATCAAAATCAATGCACCCAACTGATAATTGAATAAAAATCAGTAACTGGAACTTGAATACCAACGTCGACCTAGGTACGAAAAGAAGGCTTTTGAAATTTATGGTACGTTCATAGGAAGGAAGTGTCGTTGGAAAATAAAATTCACTAGAAAAATAACATTATTAATATCCTTAAATTCAAATCCTTCTGATATTCAACAAGTATTCTACTCGGATTAAAACTCTGAGACATAGTTAGCAAGAATCTAGGAAACTTGCGTGCATTTTGGGGTGAAGAAACTGGATACGGCAAAGAGATATGTTAAAGGCTATGGCAAAATATGTAATTTAGGTACGTTACAATGGGTTAATTAAAATACACATGGCACCAAAATTGTAGGAGAATGTTTAATCAAATTGTCAAATTGAATAGATGTTTAATCTAAGAAGCCTAAAAATGAGGGGTCTATATCAAAACGCCCCAAGCATGGGGAATTAGGGTTTACTACATTTTCGCTCCATAAAGGTATAATTTTTAAATTTAAATTCCATAGCATATCTTGGAACGAGGATACTCTTCGGATTCTCTTTGTGAGAATTCTGAAAATTCATGAATCATATCCGTTCATCATACATCGTTTGGTTAGAAATCATTTTAAATTGGGTTTTTATCATAAATGGTTCCTGAAATTGACCTATCCCATCAAGATGGTCCCTGAAATTGAAAATCAATCAATGTAGTCCCTGAAATTTACCACCAAACATCAATGTCATCCTTGCCGTTTAATTTTGTCAATTTTTCTGTTAATATGCTAACTTGGCATACATGTAAGCTCCCCATCCAATGATATGATGCCATGTGGATTTAACAAAAGAAAGTTTAAAAAGTTTTTTAAAATTCATTAAAAAATGGGCCAAGAAGAATGAACCTAGCTGCATTTCCCCACCCCCTATGCGATCTCCGCCATCCCCAACCCTAAGCAGCTGTCTCCATTTTTGCACTTTGAAAGCATTTGTGTCACTTCTTACTTTGTCATCTTTGTAAGGAGATGAAGGTTCCAGATGATGACAAGTGTCAAGAAGTTAAGTAATAAGTTGTTAGGGCTGTTGAAAACAGTTAGCAGAATATACTTAGTGTGTAAGACAAAATGTAATGACTATATATATACTTGTATTGCTACTGTAAGATTCATTCAATACAATTGAGATATAATTCAGTAACAGTTTCCTTCTCTTCGAAGTTTTCCTCTTCTCTCTATATGCTTTCTCTCTCTGAAAACACCATTGCAGAAGCTTCATCTTCTGCATCTTTACATGGTATCTTCGCTGGTTGAGGATTCACTTCTTCGATCCTGCGATCTGTTCTGCTTCCGCGCCCTCTCTCTGACGTTTGGTATATGTTTTTCCTTCTCTGACTTGATGCTGCCAGTTTCTACTTTTGTGAAATTGCGATCTGTGATTTGCTTCTGTTGATTGCTCGCCATGTGTTTGAAGAAATGTCTGACTAAAAACATTCTCTCTCTGCTCTGAAATTATGTGTTCCTTATCTCTTGATTTTGATCTCTGCTGCTGTAAATTCCCGATTGTGAAGTTTGAAACCCTAATTTTCAAAGATTTTCAAGAAATTCCTCCATTCTTTGAAATTGCGATAGAAATATGGTGACTTCTACTCAGTTGCAAATTGTGCAATCTCCGATTACGAATCTCATTCCAAATGTGAATATATCCGTGACTGTGAAGTTAGATGATACGAATTATCTTGTTTGGCACTATCAGTTACAATTGTTACATGAAAGTCATGGAATTCTTGGATTTGTGGATGGATCTCGTCGATGTCCTACTCGATTTGAGAAAGATTATGAGCTTGAAGGAGTTGAAACTGATGATTTTCAAATCTGGAAGATGCATGATTGTGCTCTCATGCAACTCATCATTGCAACACTGTCTCATACTGCTATGTCCTGTATCATTGGTTGTGTGACTTCATATGATCGTCCAACTCAATTTGGTTCCTCTAATTACAATGGAGGCTTTCCTGCTTCTGGTTTTCGAGGAAGAGGAAGAGGAAGAAACAATTTTCCTTCTAACAACCGATTCAATGGTGCTGGAATTCTTGGTTCACCAAAGCCTCATGTCTCTACCTGTCCCGAGCATGGCTTTGATATTCCTGTGTGTCAAATCTGTACCAAGAAGGGCCACCTAGCTTCAAATTGTTTTCAACGGCATTCTAGTCCCATTTCTTCATCCTCCAGAGTTCAATGCCATATTTGTTGGAAGTTTGGTCACACAGCTATCCAGTGTTATCACAGGGCAAATTTCTCTTACCAAGGGAGACCACCTTCACCTAATCTTACTGCCATGCATACAACTTATCAGCCTTCTGCACCTCAGGAGTCTTTTTGGGTGGCTGACACAGGTGCTACTTCACACATGACCTCAGATATTGCTGCTCTCAATTTGGCAGAACCATATCCAGGCAATGAAACAATCACTACAGCAAGTGGTGCAGGTTTGAAAATATCTCATATTGGTTCCACTACCTTAAAAACTCCTCGTTATGCATTTGAGTTGAAGAAAATATTGCATGTGCCTCATTTGTCTCAACATCTATTATCCATATATAGCTTGTGTAAAGACAACAAATGCAGGTTCATTTGTGATGAATTCTGTTTTTGGATTTAGGACAAGCTCACAGGGACAATCCTCCTCCAGGGACTGTGTAGAGATGGTCTTTACCCTATACCTTTCCATATTCCACATCATCTAGTTTCTCAAGCACAAAAGCATACTGCATCCTTCAAGCAACAAGTTTGCTATCTTGGACATCAAGTCAAAATAAATTTGTGGCACAAACGATTAGGGCATCCATCCAACATTGTTGTTTCTACAATGTTAAGTCAATCTAAAATCCCTACATCGGTTGATAATGTGTCTTCTGTTTGTACCTATTGTCTTGAAGGCAAGTTAACCAAACTGCCATTTGTGTTTCCTGCACATAAAGTTGTACAACCCTTAGAAGTGATACATAGTGATGTTTGGGGGCCTTCTTCTACTGTCTCAGTTGAAGGTTACAAAT